AAAGGCGGGCCGATGACATCGACCATTCAAGAGCAATGTTGGTTCCTCAGGCTCCCTCTCGGGGAATCTCCCCTCGTTATTATCTCCGCCTCTCCAATGCTGCTGTTATCGTATACCGACTCCCTTTTCTGCAGGAATATATCTCCCGATTCACTCCGAGATCCCCATTTTAAGCACAGCTATCCCATGGGGATACTTGATTTCACTCTAAAGTGAACCCATCGCTCCTGCGGCCGCGGCGTGGCTCTGAGCCAACGTCGCATCCCTACCGTCAGCCGGCATGATGCGATCGAGAGACCCTCGGGTCCGCCAGACAATCAACCAAATCCATCATAACCTCGAGTCTGCAAACGAGAGCGCCCAGGAGGGCTTATATACCTTTTCCCACAACTATGTGGTACCGTGTTTTGCAGCGATTGGGAGCTGTATCTACTCGTGCACTGCGCCTTGTCTTCCTAGCCGCGAAGACCAGCTTCGACGCCGCCGACGCGGCCGCGCAGAGGCTAATTTCGACTTCTACGATGACTGGGATAATGAGGATCCAAATGCCGGTTTGCTAGGATGGGGTACTGACGAACTGGATCGTTTACTGGCTGGAAGCGGCTTGGCTCGGGGGAGTTCCGAACAGCCTCGAAGGCAGCGGAAAATGAGCTATGGTGCTCGGCGCACAAGGCGAAAGAGCACTGCTATAATGTCTGACGACCGTAATGACCCGACTGTTATCCCGAGTTCCTCCTTCCTGGGGTTTCTAGAGCGCTTTCCATGGAGATTTGGAGCCCGAGGGCTGAAATATCGGCCGTCAGCGGCAGATCTTCAAGAACATCCCGTGGGATTGCGACGGCATGAACTTGAAGATGAGCCTCTCATAGAAGAAACCGAGGAAAGTGAAGGCCCAGCCACCTCAAGATTGAATGGGAGATATCGGAGTTCAACACAATCATCGCGTGACACGGCCAATTCCTTGAGCTCGCGGGGTGACTTGATTCCCAGCGACGAGGAAGAAGACGCAGTGCCACTAGATGATGAGTTCGCTCTAGCTCTGGCCAGTCGTCGCGGGACTGGACTCGATTCAATTGATCTGATAGGGGATAAGCCTGCAAGTATGAGGTCGGTGTCTGGGACCTTTAGTTTAAGAACAACCGCCTCTTCCAAGGAGGAGAGAAAGAAAAAGAAGAAGAGGAGCAGCCGTCTGCGGTCTCCGGAGGGGTCGTATGTAGAGGTCACTCGCCAAGCCAGCACCCCTACATTAGCCGATCTTAAAAAAGAAGAAGAGCAAGCAGCGCTTGAAGAAGAATCAGAGATTGCGCGAAGACGGCTTGCTGCGCAGCAGCTGGCTTCAACACGAGGCTTAAACCAAGCAAAAGACGAGGTAGGTAGCTCATATAATGATTTGTCCCATGCCAGAGTTATAGAAGATGAGCTAACAAAATAACCATGTAGGCTTCACAAAGTTCACCATCTCCGCAGCCTCACACACCTTCGTCGGACGCCGCTCATCAAGAGTCCGCTGATAATCATTTAGACTCAACTGTAGAACACTCACTTTCTCAAAGTCAGGATGTACAAACTCAGCAGTCGCTGAATCCGGGCTCCCCCGGAAACGACTCACAAACCGAACCATTTCCCCCATTTCCATCCACGCCATAATTTCGCGATGCTAGTCTTGCATCGCATCCGGGTCATTTCCACGACCAAAGCAATGCCCCGAATCTATCTGATCAGGAAACTACAGCAGATGCTTCGAGGGATGATGCCTCTATTGATTGAATAAAGGGCGCCATGTTGCTATGCGTGGAGGAAGCACGGCTAATCGCTAATCCAGGTTTGCAGGCCAAACCTAACCATCTAAATTCCCATTTCCTTCAGCGATCTCTCTCATATATGAGGACGCAGCCGTCTTATGCTTCTTATGGCGACCTCTGATGAACTGTACATTAACATGATGATTCACGAAACTTGAATATATTCCGTATCTGGAAGATGTGACAATTCTTGCGTCTTCGTCTCACAACCACACTAGTAAACTCCTCACCCGGTACTTTCCCTTATCTATGCCACCTAACAGCACAGCATCAATTATATCCGATATTACCCCCACCCAAAGCATCTGCACCTCCCTGCGCCAAAGCAGTATACTCCAATCGCGCCGACAACCCACCCTGATTCTCATCTGCTCTTGGCAACTCCCCAAGGGGAGGAATACTCTCATACAGCCACGGCGGATTCGCCAGAGACAAGATCTCCTGATCAAAGATCGCCCAAGAATAATCCTCTTCCGGAGCGGGGAATGCAAAATCGGGTCCCATCTCAGGCGGTGTATGCATGCTCTGTAGGCCCGACTCGAGTCGATCAGCCAGTATGCTATGGATGCTTGGCACAGATGAATGGTTCCTTTTCAGGCTGTCGATGTGCTTTTCAATCAACTGGAGGTCTGTACAGGTGTAGGTCAGCAATGGACGTGGTTCACGATGAGATCAGTCAAGTATCACTCTCTCACCGTCTTGGTGTAGTACGCCGTCTTCGATCCCTCGGAGTAGTAGCATGGCTGCGAATGTTACCATCTAAGAAGGTCAGCTGTGTTGGAGGTGTACGAGATGGTTAGAAGAAGGGGGCTTTTACTATCAAATCCCAGTTAGACCATATACTAGCGTCGTCCAGACGAAGCCGCAGAACTGCACGGGCTGAGACTAGTAGTTCGTGTCTTTCGGCTGGTGCGATATCCGTAGAACCTAGATCGAATCCTCTGGCTGGATGATATATGGATAAGACGTATAGTTTGTGTAGATGGTATTGTAGGAGGATGAGTATGCCCTGGCGATCAGAAGGGGATGGCTCTGGAAGTGACATTCGCGTCAGCATACTCTCCCTTGAACCGGGCCACTAAGAGATCTCACGAGATGCAGCATTATATCGAACCAGCCAGTCGTCCAATTTCCGGGCCCAAAGGCGGATAACCCGTGCATCTTCATCTGTGAAGGGTGTCCGTATTGGCGAGAGGACCTCACGCTCTTTTGCGCTTACGAAAGACCATATAGTGGGGAGACCTCGTCCGACAAAATGACTAAGTCCGTGATGCATCATTTGGATGAGGCCATGGAAAGCATTTTCTTCGCGGGCGTTGTATTGGGCAAGGGTGGGTAGGGGTGGTTGTTCAGGTAATAGGGGACAACACATATGCATGGAAGCGTGCTCAATATCAATTACCTGGAGACCTGAGAACAGCCCAGCCCAGTCATGAGTCGTGTTTTCAACTTCGCGCAGTGTGTGATCGAGTAAAAGGCGATACGCGATGGCTATCCATGTGCCGGTAGTTGGCACATAAGCTTCTGAGCCCAAGCTGGCCATAATTAGACCGAGGATGTTCTGAAAAGTCAGCGAATCATCTATAGCATTCATGGATTGATCGGGGTCTTCTGTGCTGCTTCGAGACATATCCGCTGGAGAAAGATATGGCACTGGATTAACAAGCTCGGCAATTGCGCAACACTGGGCGACAAAGTATCCTTTCGTAAACTCCGATAGATCGTTGGACGGGCCATGAAGAGCGGATATGAATAGAACAGATGCAAGTAATAGGGGTGACGGTGATGCGAAAGCACTCTGATCCTTCAAAAAGTGGAGGAGGGGTAGGTTGTTGAGGAACCTTCACTGGTATCAGTCCGCTCATCTTAATGGCACTGCTCATGATGGAGAAGGTTGCGTACGAATACCACAGATGCTTGACAACTGGACGTGACCAGAGAGCTTCATCCTGAGCAGGCCGTGTGATCTGTTTGAGGTGCCTGACGGCCTTCCAGAGGGCGCGCAGAGATATGTTCTCAGACCCTTCATCCTGATCTGGGCCAGGACTATCTGCTGTCACAAAGCTACTTCCTCTATCAAAACCCAGGGCACTCTCAATCCTATCCAGACGGCCAAGAATCGCATTGATGTCTTGGTTTCTATCTGGCGTGTCTTGTTGCAGTCTCACCACGTCATGAACTGCTAATGCTGCCTAGACCCAGTAAGCATCATTTATGGATATTTAGTTAACCGAATTTCTAACATTAGATCTTGGTCTGAAGACACAACTAGCCTTTGTGTGTCGGCATCGGCGGCATGGAGGAGTCCCGTCCACGACACATTTCATCTTAGCGGGTATCAGCATGCCCAGTCACATCATACAAGACTTAGTACCGTCTCTGACCTTTAATCTGCGGCAGTTGACTGCATGGGACGATCAGCCCTGCTTCGCTTAAGCCTTCAAGAACCGATGCCACTTACCGCATGCCTTGGTCGGCTTTGGACCGAGGGAGATCGCTTTTGTTCCCCGCATGATGATGAGTGTGGCATTACTGAATGTCTAGCAGGGCCTGGTAAAACCTAACCGTTTGAGGTCTCTACACCCAATGCCAATGAGCATACCTTGTAAAAGGGCTTTTGAAGGAAGTACTATAGTCGAAAGCATAATTTGCCAAGTGCCACGTGAGTCGGAGCTATTCCTTTGACTATTTTAGCCTCTGATAAGAAGCGATTGAGCTTATTGGAAAATGGAGATAACAGCAAGATCTGGTCCCATTTAGCTGATCCGAGACCGGTCCATTCCTAGTACTTTTACTTTCATGGAATTGACACAATGGCCCCTCTCATCGAGAAATCACAGTAAAGAGTACTCTGCTGACCTGCCGACCTTGGTTCTTTCACCTCAACGCATATGTAAAGAGGTTACTGTAATTGCATATTCTAGTTATATCGACCACTCCCGACTCTGTTTCCTCGTTTTTAGTCCGCCCTGCGTAGGCTGAAAAGGATCAGGGCGGGTCTGAAAACGGGAATATAGAAGTGTACCATGGTAGTAGACCTTCGTCTACTGCGGGTTCACATTCCTGTTGATCTTGCGCTTGCTCCTTGGATAGGAGGACTGGCCATCTACCGGTCATAGTGCATAGACTGGAGATAGAGCTCGTCTGTTCTTGAGAGCGCGTGCATTGGATAGGCCACAGTGTCTAGAAATTTCCAACAACCAGAATGAGTGAAGAGTGAAGGGGTATTGTACATGTAAAAATCTATATACAGGCTCTTGTCGTGCGTGAGAACATCGTGATAATAATACATGGTTATATGGTACACATGTCTGTCGAAATAACACCGACGATTTTACTAAGGTTTCCAAGTCAGTGAAAAGCAACAACGTAGGTATCAAACGCGTTCCTAGTTTGAAACGTCTGGTAGTGCGTCTAGGCGGATGCCGCGGCATCCTGCGCGTCCATAGCAGCCTGGTCATTTTCACCAGAGACTCCCATGGAAAGCTTTCTCATGTCCCAGCCGTCCGATTCAATCCAATCCTTCTTTTCGCCGAGAAGGCACACGGAACGCTGCGAGCCCTGGACCAAGAAGGACTCAGCTGCTTCATTGACATCCTTAGCCGTGACATCAAGGACCTGCTCTCTCCAGCGCTGATCCATCTCATGAGTCACGCCGCTCATGAAATATCTCGCACCCTCTTCATCAACGCTCATTGGAGCGTCGAGACCCTGGAAGATGCCCAGTTTCGCCTCGTTGAGCTCCCGTTCAGACCAAGCTCGGTCCCTGGCAAAGACACCACTGTTCTGGAAGACCTTCAGGGTGTTAACAGGGTTCGGATCCCGGTAACTAGTGAAAGCGAACATTCCCTTCACCGGACCATTCATGGCACTCGCGCCATAGGCGCCGCCTTTCTCGCGAATCTCTGGGTGGAGGTAGTTATGTGTTAGAAGCTGAGAGAGGACGCTAAGCGATGCACTGGATGAGCTGGTGAAAGGGACGGTTTGCATAGCCAAGCCTGAGTAGTAGACCTTATAAGGCATGTCATAGAAAGCCTTGTGGGCACCCAAGCCGAGAGCTGAAATACTGGGTGTAGATGTCGGTGAGCGGACTTGTGGTAGGCCCGTAAGCCACTTCTGTAGCACGGACTCATTTTGCTTGGCGCTGCTCTGTTCACAGACCATCCGAACACGGAGACCGGAGGATTTAGAAATAGCAAATGACTGAATTTGGCGAAGCTTCTCAATCAACTCCGCAAGGCGTTCTGGCGAGGTCTCTGCATCTCGCAGCAGATTAGCTGTAGCTTGCAACTGCGCAAGGCCAGATTGTTGCTCTTGAACCCAGAAGCTACGTGAAAGCCCTGCTGCAGCGGCATTAAGGGCATAACGATGACCTGAACCAGCCACTGCATCCAAGGCGCCGTTGGTCGTCAGTCGCAGCAGTTCCTGAATCATGGCTGGCGCACTGGGACTAGTGAAGTCGGTCTCAGTGACAAGTGTAGTCATGATCTCCAGCATCTCGGGGATGTTCTTGTCCAGAGCGAAACCAGAGAACTGAAGACCCTCGGCGAACTTTCCAAGCTGCGTCGGGGATGATACATGGAAGGAGGATGTGGAGATTCCACCCGTCTTCAATTTGATGATGTCCTCCCACTGCTCCATTGACTTGCTGGCTGTGCCCAGACGCATTATGCAGTCATTGAACAGTGGCATCAAGAGACGTAGATCATCTGGCAGATCTTCAAACGCGTTCAGCGCTTGGAAGTATGTTAAACCGTTGGTAGGAGCCTCGCGCCAGACGACGTCTACGCCGTCAACCTTCGACTCTCGAACAGGCTTGCGCTCTTTCTCCCGAGAAATATCAGCAACACGAAGGGAAGGAAGGCATGACAAGTCTGCGTTCTGTGCCTCCTCTTGGGTCTTCAACAGCTGAAGCTCTTCCTCTGTCAGCTTGGCGACTACCTTCTCCAGGGAGCCATGCTGCTCAATGAGCTGGTTGAACTTTTCCTCCTTCCGAACCATTTCTTGTTCGTCCAGCTCTTGGTTCCAAGTAGGACTGCCGACCATTGTGAAGGTTAGGCAATTGTCATTCATGAGATACTTCTGCATTAGGGACTCCAGGTAGCCCCCCTTCTCATATCTGCTCTTGAACTCATCAATGACCTCATTCCAGGCGAGTTCCTTCATGGGATTGGAGCCATTGAACCATGAGGAGATGGTTTTTTCCATGACACCGATACCAAAGTTGGCAGTCTTATGTCTTAGAGCAAGTTCCAATTGGTGAAGGAAACCCCGAACCTTCTCGTCACTGAAGCCAGTGGCTAGACACTCCTGGAAGACCTGTTGAATGGCACCTTTGACTTTAGGTGCTTCTTCTGCACTCACACCGGTAACACCAGCTGAGAACACGGGCACACGACCTGAAGCGTCAAGGCCCGTATTAGGAGTGAATGAAGACCCTAAGCCACTTTCGATCAAGGCTCGATACAAAGGCGACCCATACCCGTCGAGGAGCAGCGAGGAGAGAATACCGGCCGAAAACGTCTCGACAACATCAGCAGCATCCCCCATATACCATGAAGTCGACGTTTTGTGCTGTTTGTCTTCGCTGGCGAATGTGTCGATCGGCCCCGAAACAGTCACACTCTGAGAACCTTTAGAGAGATCGATCGGTAGCTTGACAGCTGTGTCAGCCTCTCCCTTTTGGAAGCCATCCAGCACACCCCCAATTTGTTGGAGATGAGCGCTCAGTGGCATATCACCATAGGTGAAAATCTTGGCATTGCTGGGGTGGTAGTTGCGCTTCGAAAATTCGACCAACTGTTTGTGGGTCAAATCGGTGATGTACTGAGGGTCTCCTCCAGAGTTGTTGAGCGCGGGAATGATATTCTCCTTGTACTTGATGTAGTAGAGGTAATTGGCGTCCGAAATTTGGCCCTTCATCTCGTTGTAGACGACACCTTTGAAAAGAATGTCCTCAGGCTTCTGGTCCGCCTGCGATTGCTCTCCGCGGGCCAGTATGGCGCGAGGATCTTCCGGACCTAGCCGCCATCCTTCCTGTCTGAAATCTTCTTCCTTCAACAACGGATGGAACGTGGCGTCAAGATAGACCGAGAGGAGATTCTGGAAGTCTTGCGGGTTTGTCGTGGCGAAAGGGTAGGTGGTATGATCAGCGGAGGTGAAAGCGTTCATAAAGTTTGAAAGAGACCGAGGTAGCATCTTGAAAAAAGGGTCGCGGATGGGATATCTAGGTAGAAAGAATCCTGTTTAGTCCTCGGGCCCAGTATGTCACGCATTCTACGTATGTCAAGGAACACTCACTTTTCACTTCCGCAAAGTGTAGTATGCTCCAAGATATGCGGCACGCCAGTAGCATCTGGGGGATTCGTCTTGAACCCGATACCGAAGACATTGTTCTTGTCTTCTCTAGCCACGTGGATGTAGTCGGCATCGGTTTTGTCATGCTTCAAGCGGATTGCTGTAAGGTGCAGTTCTGGAACGTGCTTCTTCTCCTGAACAGTAAACCCATGGATCCCCTCACCAATCTCCGGAAAGTTCTCAAGGCTTGTGACAGTCGAAGCAGATCTTCTTATCTGGCTCCAGCGGAGTAGAGCGCTATCCGATCTCAGTAAACGTCCGGGTTTCTGCAAGGCCGGAGCTGACCTCCGGCCTGCCCTTAACGATGAACGCAACATAGCGTTACTTTGAAGATGGTAGCCAAGCCTAGAAACAGCAAAAGACTGACGGTCACCGGCTTGACTCTCACGGCGTGACGTACTTTAGCGAGTCCGCTGCCGGGGATTAGGGTACCAAAGGTGGTCGGAAATGGCGGTCCCGAGCGGACCGGGGTTAAGCGCAAAAGACTAGGATACGCAACCAATTGGCCACACCGAGCACGATATCAGATAGATAAAGCGAGTGACGTGCCGTGGAAGCATTCGAGGATGGAATGCAAAAGTGGATGGAGAAGGGAGGAAAAAGAAAGGAAGGCAAAGCGACAGATCGGGCCTGCTATTCGGAAGGCGGACCGTGAATTAGAAAGGCGCCAAGAGAAGTTTTCAAAAGAGGCTAGTGCAGGTCAAGTGCGCATCCCCCCTCTTACGACTATTCAATCCTCCCCGGCAAGATCCTCAAGCCGTCCGGCGTTCATTAGTCGACTCCGTCGCCAAACTGCCTTTTGACTCTCAAGACACTCTGCAGGCTACTTACGCCGTGTGATTTCGGTCAGCTTGGCAGAACCGGGCTAGTAGAGGGCCTGAGGGATCCATTACCCACCGAGTTCTCCAAGTCTGGGAAAAGGCCACCCAGGTTCTCCGCTACACTGGACAGTCGAATCACTGAGTCACTGTCGATTACAATACTCCCCTGTCTATCCGCAGCTTCGTCTTCGAATCGGACTCGCTCCTGGTCGACTCGTTGCCACCGCTCCGTGGCGTGAATAGCGAATCCATTTCCCGCCAGTCCTAGCCAACCGTTCCGGCTTCGCAATTTTCGTTTTCGTGGATTAGCCACGCGACCACCGCCAACGCAATCGCTCTACGATAACTCGACTCGATCCCCATTCTAAAAGCTAGGAGCAATGTCTGCTGCAGCAATGTCGAAAAAGAACAAGGGGAAGAAGGTCGCAGACCCCAATGAGACATCCAAGCTCTTGGCTGCCAAAATATCGCAGTTGGAGCAAGATGCCGCTGGAGAAAAGGATCAGGAGGCCGAAATCGGTGCGTCTTTCTCATGAGTGCTGGAAAACTTGGACTAGTAGTTGTTTCATGAACGGGGGGGCTAATGACCGTTTGCCTATAGAGCGCGAAGTCAAGAAGGCTACGAGGGACCTGAACCAACTCCTTAGCAATATCGAATCTCCGATGACACGGCTCGAGACGGTTCATAAGAAATACACCGAACTACTGGCCGATATGAAGAAGCTAGATCGCGACTACTCCAAAAGCAAGAAGCGGGCCGATCAACTGCAGAAAGATCAGGACAAGGGCAAATCCGAGTTGAACAAAACCGTTACTATGAAGGATAAATTAGAAAAGCTGTGTAGGGAGCTTACCAAGGAAAATAAGAAGGTCAAGGTAGGTTGGTCCAAGCTCTACAGCACTACTGTCGCGCTACATCACGTAGGGAGATGACTAAACGAGATGGTTCATAGGATGAGAACAAGAAGCTTGAGGAAACTGAAAAGAAAGCGCGGCTTATTGTCAACGAACGCCTCGATTCTCTGCTATATGATATTCAAGACGTCATGGCCGCCAAAGGAAATCCCCGCAGTGAGAAAGCGGACATTGACCTAGACGAAGCGTGAGTTGCGGCTGTCTGCTTGATGTAGTCGTTTATCTCTGACTCTCTATCATAGTCTGCGCGCAAAGATTAAAACTATTGGCGAGAAGTTTGAAATGCGCGAGTTACATTACAAGGCACTCCTTCGCAGCAAGGATGCCGAGATACAATGCCTTACCGCCAAGTACGAAGAGCAGCGCCGTACAGCCGAGAATGAAGCCGCTCGTTGTCGTGCTCTAAGCTCCCAGGTCTCTACCTTCTCGCATACCGAAGCCGAACTACGCAGTCAATTAAACATCTACGTGGAAAAGTTCAAGCAGGTATGGACCGATGTCGATGGCTTGCTCGGCCTCAGCCTCGTTTTGACCGCTGGTAATAATAATATCGCAGGTGGAGGATACGCTGAACAACAGCAACGAGCTTTTTCTTACGTTTCGCAAAGAAATGGAAGAGATGTCCAAAAAGACGAAACGGCTAGAGAAGGAAAACCACACCCTCACACGGAAGCACGATCAAACGAACCGCAACATACTCGAGATGGCGGAGGAGCGCACAAGGAATCATGAGGAGTTAGAAAAGTGGCGCAAGAAAAGCCATCATTTGGAAGCACTCTGTCGTCGCATGCAAGCCCAGGGTCGCGGGCAAGGACTTGCTGCGGATTTGGATGGCGATGACGAGGGGACGGAGAGTGAATATGATGAGGACTATGAGGATGAGGAAGATGATGAAGGAATCAGCGATGATGACTACGAGCTCGACAGTCCGGATGGCGACATGAACGGAGACCGCAATATTCCCCAGCAACCCGAAAAGCCAGTATTCGGGCCTCCTCCGCCCCCGAATTTGCTGGAAGCGCGAGCCAACGGAAATAAGGCAATGATCAATGGATGCCACTAATGCAATTTTCATCAATGTCATGTTCTCGTTGTTCATGTTTCCTTGGGCTTGTGACCAACAACGATTGCGAAGTCTTCGCCATTTGCGCTGGCAATGCCGCAATCGTCTCGGGTGTTCTTTACTTCTCTGTTCAGCTGCGTGGTAGTTGGCCTTGATGAGTTGAAAAATATGCCTCCCTGAGAGCGTGCACTGACAATTGCGCAGTGTGGCGCTGGTCGCTCGGGGTCTCTCCTGTCTCCGTATGCAGATCTTGTAGCGGTTCGGCTCTTTAAAGATAGGTTGCCCTGCTCATTTAGGTTACTGTCCGCCTAGAATTGCAACATGCACCACCACAGCTGTGGAGGTTTTGCAAGTCGTGGTCCTGACTTTTGTTCGCTTTTCCATTTCGTGTACTTGTACATGCTAGATCACTAACATCTAAACGTACTTATTACGCTATCATGAAAATTATTTGCAATACCAATATCATGTCACATATACCAGCATCCTTGGAAAAGATAAAGCAGAGCTGATGCCTCAATCAAAGTCTACTCGGCGGACCGTTAATATAGGATCCTCCCTTCTTCAGCATATCCACAGCCTGCTGGACCATCTCCCGGACAATCACACCAGCAGGTTTGATCTCCCGAATAATTGCCGAAACATCGCCCATCAAAAACGGCACATCGACATCCTTATCGTTCTTGAAGTCGTGCTCAATAGGAACGATACCTTGGGCCGTCAATCTAGCAATGTCTTCGGGGCGCTTCTCCCACTCCTTGATGTATTCATTAGGAAGCATGCGCAGCGGCCTCCCAGAGATGACTAACGTCCGTTTGGTCTCTCCATACTGCGCACCAACAACAGCCTCCTTATGCAAGCGACTCGCACCACTTTCCTCCGAAGCAACAAACCTAGTTCCTACCCAAACCCCCGCGGCGCCCAGCATCAATGCCGCAGCCAAGCTTCGGCCATCATTGACACCACCTGCAGCAACAACCAACGCAGGCTGTCCCGTCAACGGGCTCTTATACTTCTTCGCCACATCCACCACCGCCGGTATGAGCACTGAAAACGGAATCTCGCCCGTATGACCACCTCCCTCACCTCCTTGCGCACAAACGATATCCACGCCTAGCTTGAACGCCTTTTCAGCGTGCTTGGGTGCCCCGACCATGTTCATGATCAGGATGCCTGCATCATGGAGCCGCTTAATGACTCGCTCTGGTGGCACACCAACTGCACAGACAAAAAGCTTGGCTCCGTGCGAGATAACCACGTCGATGAGCTGGTCCAGCTGCCCGTGGGTGTAGTCATGGTTTGTGGCCCGTGCTCCTCCGCCGACCTGCGGCAAGGCCAAATCAACGCCAAATGGTAGCGAAGGATCCTTGAGAAGTGATTTGAGTTCGGTCAGGATTTCAGATAGTTGTTCGGGGGTATAGCCTAGCCCGCCAACTGTTCCCAGACCACCTGCGTTGGAGACTGCGGCGGCAAGAGGTGCTCCGGATGCACGAGCCATGCCTGCCAGCAGGACTGGGTGCTGAATATTCAGCAATGAGCAAAGGGGGGTCTGGAGAGACATGGTTTCTGAAGTGAGAAAAAGGGACTGTGTAGTGGTAGTTTGGTGGAGCTATTGTATAGAAAATTAACCGTCTAGCAATTGAACAATGGGATGCGGTCAGCAATGTACTCTCTCGCTAATAAACGAACAAGCCTACCTAATGGACTGTAAAGCGGGTTGGTTTCAGATCAAAAGTCTCCTCTAGAACCTGAAATCGTATCAATATGAACAAATCCATTGTTGGATGATTTCCTTCCCTGAGCATAAGTATCCTAGTGCAGAGCATATGATCCGCGGTGCAAGCAGGGAAACTGGCTTGTGCCTGAGGAGCTCAAATGCGGGGAAGCGGAGCTCCAAGGCGTTAGACCCGGCCGGACCGAGGCATTGGCCTCTGCTGGCTCTTGCCACTCGGGCCACATTGTGCATCTTCCTGTCTTCAACATGGCGCTAACCCCAGTGATAATGGCTGATCATAAGAACTGAGTTCCTGAATTATGCGGGGTTGTGTCGTGTGCATATTTTCGGGCTAGCACAAGTAAGCTGCTGCTATAGACACTAAGGGACGCTGTGTTGGTGGCCGCGGTTTGTTTACGCTTTTCATTTCGGGGTATTAACATATGTTTTGAATTATTGACTTGGGCTCAAAGCTCTATAACTACTACAAAATCGCTAATGAAAGGCACACAAATCACATGCCTGCAATGAGAAAATGACGTTATTTAAAATCGGAATAAAGCAGACCAAAGACCCTAATCGGACACAGCAGGTATGGTCACAGATGCAGTATACCCAGCAGAATTGAAAGCAAGAAGCCGCCTAAAGTTAAGGTCATATCCTTATTTGCTGTTGCAGCTTGTGTTGCTTCCATGATCACCTGTGCTCCCGTCACTGTCCCCGACATAATCGCAATGTTCTTCCTTGGCCTAGTAAGAAATCTATCAGCTATACAACTCTTTGCCAAGTGCACCACACGAGCCGCTTACTCGTTTATGCCATTGCTTCCATCTTTCGATGATCCTTGCATGATTTCTGTCGGTATACTCGTACCGGTTACTGTCGTTGCTGCCGTTTCTTCATTTGATGGTGCAGAAGTTGTTAAGACCCGGTAGGGATAGGTGACAGCAGGACCTGGGGGTGGCTGATAGTAGCCTACCGCGCCTTGAGGCGCTGTTGCAAGAGATCCTGGAAGGCTCCTTCTGAATAGGTTCGAGTGCAGGCCGCGTAAAAACGCGTCGAGATACGCTGAGGTGACGATGCTCGCTATCAAACCGGCAAGTAGAAATCTGCGCAGCAGGTGGCCGAAAGGAAGTAGGACTCGCATTTTGACAAAAGACCACTATTCGAGTACAAAAATTATCTGCAATTAGCTGTCTTGAATATGGGTCAACAGTATGGGCAAAGAAACCCTGCTAAACAGGGAAACCAAGCCCATACATATTGCACTGGACCAAAGCGTCAACATGGATGGGGCGCATTCCCATCCATTCGGCATGCCACACACAATGCCACATCCCTCGCTGACAATTTTCATCTTCCGGTATCCCGATGATGTTTTGAGTCATTCGGCTTTACTCGGATTGAAGGACACTGCTGCCACGGAGTAAACTTCCGGGAATCCATTCTCTAGAATGAAGGAAGGAATGCTTGAGCGCTTTAACGAAGGGATGGCGCGCTGGCGAAAAATGGACCAGACCATGAATCTATCAAGTTTCAGGTTCAGCATACCATTCTTGGCGCGAGAATTGTCCGCGATAATGAAAGCAAAAGTAAGTCTTCCTGTCTTGTGCAAAGACCTTCTTACCAGCCAAGACAGAAGTCCTTAACAGGCCGGTACTCAATGTCGAAGCAAACCGTCCAAGACCTGCTAGTTTCCTGGCTTATCGAAGGTGAGCTCTGTATAATCCGGACGAAGGCGACTATTTGGGTACCTCTTTCTTTGTTATGTTCTCCAGACAGGGTCGATAAGTGTGTTGTTCTACAGCGGAGACCGGGAGGCGCAGATCAGGATACAGAAGGTTCACTGGAGTCGCAAGTCCAGTCGACTCTCGTTACAGCTACTAATTTATTGATGCCTTGATCTCACCGAATGAGAAGCCAGTTAGACTCGCAGTCATTCTTCATATAATGTTATGAAACCGAGTTCAGTTGAACATTTCTAGCTTGCTGAACAACGGCCTGAACAACAGCCATTGCAGGTTCAAAGATAATGGATGATGCAGTAGTTCTATAAAAGTGGACCATAATTGACAGTAATATAAAACTGGTTCCATTTTACCATAAGAATAACAGCTTTCGATCCCAGTGAGTTGTGAAGGACTTCGGCAAGTTGCCTGCTTTCCAGCGGTGGAGAACCCCAAAGCGGTACTGTAATTACGCGACGCCAAAAGACGCGTGATCGCGTAGGCGGAAGAAGCACAGGACAAAAGCTCCCAGCACCAACTGCATCAAACAACATCACTCAATTACGTTGTCGTTGTCGCTCATATGAGCTTACACTGGATATAAATATTCAAGTGTAATTGGATAAATAAAGGCCAGAATGGCAAGCAGCGACGAGTTCCTGCGCCCTCCCAGGTTCGTTCTCCCGCATGTTAATCTTCTTGATTGTTCAGTTTATCAAATATGAAGTCTAACTGTCAATGCCGCACCTTTAGCAATGAAGAATTTGACGCAGTCACTCGTGTACCCTCGCATTATAATTCTCTAGATACATTTCGACTGGGAAGCGGCCAGGATCGGCATTACCAGCAGCAATATGGCGACATGTACTTCTTGCGACTGGCGAAACTCAAGCCCGCGGTTGAAGAGATTGCAGTCGAAGCATGGGAAGGTTTCAGTGTAAGACCGATCGCATCCATCGCATTTCGAAATCTCGGATGGGAGATCTAATAATATGCACATTGGAAATTGGTTCGCTGACATGTCTTGGTTCGGTGACCAGATCGCTGGAGAAAATGCGCGCCGCGTGGAAAGAGTCCTCGACGTGAGGCAGGGAGAACTTTGCTGGGTCGCAGGAACGATATATATGGACATGCCATTGAAGCCGAATATTTTGGACGATCTTACGAAAGAGGTGATATACTATACTGCCAATTTGCGTACGGCTCTCATTCTAACTTTGGCATTAGAACTATACGTTAGCACCACCTCCGCGACCGACCTACCAAGATCCTGCTCATCCGGAGTTGACACAAATCATGTTGGAAGATGAGTCCGGCCGACTGCGCCTGACTGGAAGCATGCTCCGGAATACGCAGCTATGTACAGGAGCTATCATTGCAGTCCTGGGAACTGAGAACGCCAACGGAGACTTTGAGGTTATAGATACCAAAGTGCCTGATCTACCGCAACAGCCCCGCCGATGGGGAAAAGATACACTGGACGCACCACAGGGAGCCAGCAAGGGTAAGATTGCGTTTGTGAGTGGTCTAGGGATCACCGGAACTTCGAGCGATACTCTTGCTTTGGAACTTCTGGCAGATTATTTGCTTGGTTATACCGGTGGTGCTTCTGAAGGAGCACTACCTGATGCTTCTGCAATCACAAGGTTGATTATTGCGGGAAATTCGGTCGGAGCAAGTATGACTACGGACGTCAACGCCGATAGTTCTACAAAGAAGAGGACCGGTCCGAAGAAGTACGGGTATGATGCTTCTGCTTACAATGCATCGCCTATCACACGGCTTGATTCTTTCCTAGCGGAGATCCTGCCTAGTATGCCCGTTACACTAATGCCAGGCGAGTCTGACCCGGCAAATTTCTCTCTCCCTCAACAGGGAATCCACCGTGCTATGTTCCCGCAGGCTAGGGCATACTGTGCTCCGCCTCCTGCTGGTGATAACAAGCAAGAGCCAGGTTGGTTCGACAGTGTAACGAATCCGTGGGAAGGAGACGTGGAGGGCTGGCGCCTATGGGGTAGCAGTGGGCAGAACGTGGATGACATCCTCCGGTATCTGAATTTCGCCGATGAGGAAGGAAATGTGGCCGATGGTGCTGGCGATATAGAGGCGAGGATGAGAGTTATGGAGGCTATGCTGCGCTGGAGATGTGGAGTTCCCACTGCGCCCGATACTCTATGTAAGCTCCTATTTGGCCCCTTAATCCTACTGGTGCAAATGCTGATTCCCAGGAACAGGGTCCTATCCATTTCAAACGCACGATCCATTCATTATACAAACTTGCCCGCATATCTTCTTTGCCGGCAACCAGCCACAATTTAAGACAGCTGTGATCGAGGGTGATGCCCCACTGAAGCTGAACGGAGCCGACACAGAGATGACAGGCACAGATGACGATAACACATCTGGCCCTCGTGTGCGCCTTCTATCTATACCCAAATTCAAGGAAACCGGAGAATTAGTTTTGGTCGATACCGAGACCCTGGAGGTGGAGGTGGTGAAGTTTAGTACATTTGCCGGACAACAAGAGCAACAATGAGCGGCTGATACCAATAGCATATATTAATGAGATATAAGTCTTATGAGCTACTGCTTTGTTATTTCTTTCTCTTCTTATGATTTTACTAACACTGTTATGCTGGCTAAACCGGAAATCAGGGCTATCTGAGATTCTTGCCTAAACTGACGCGGGCGGTGCCAAGATCCGCGCGGAAAAGTCCAGACTCTTCAATTCAATCCTCTACCACCAAATATTGGGATCTGGAGAACCAGCTAGCTCAATAAGATATATTGACGTACACCTAAACGCACTCATCGGGCTACGGTCAACTGGTGAGCCAGGTATTTCGCCATGCTCCTCAACGCCAAGACAGGTATATCGGAGCATTGATTGCATGCGCCACCACACAAGCAGGCTAATCAAGTCCCCTCTATAGCCATTTCCACCTCCACGGTGCTTCTAGTCCCATACTCCAAATGGCACGTTCCAAGATACCACGAATGGATGAAAGATGAGGTAAATACGTAACCTTTCTAGACAGACAAACCCCAATCGTAAATATCCGAATATTGTACCCTACAATTACTGACCTGCCATATTAGGAAATTCAAGAAGCAACCGCATCCGAACCCCTCTCTATAGAGGAAGAATACGCCATGCAACAAAGCTGGCGCCAAGACCCAGACAAGTTGACATTCATTGTCTGTCTCCCATCACCATCATTTCAAGGAGAAACCTCAACACCCACCATTAAAGACACAGACGACGCCCCAGACCGAATGGTCGGAGACATCAACCTATTCCTTCGTGTCGACGACGGCGAAGAAGGCGACGCGGAGCCCCAGATTATCGGGGAAATCGAATTAATGATAGCTGAGAAGAATAATCAGCGCAAAGGCTTCGGGAAAGCCGCGCTTAACACCTTCCTACGGTACATCGTTGACCATGAAGCGCAGATCTTGGATGAGTTTGTTAGCAGGGATGAAACCGCCGCAACAGCAATGAAGGGAGTGGAGGTGGTGCCTAAATTTGCTTGTCTGAGTGTGAAGATTGGCCAGGCTAATGAGCGGAGTTTGGCGCTGTTTGAGGGTGCTATGTTTAGGAAGGTTACTGAGGAGCCGAATTATTTTGGGGAGTTTGAGCTGAGGAGGGAGAGGGAGGCGCTGGGTCGGGATATGGTTGATGTGAGTTTGAAGAGGGCTGGGGTGTCGGGGTATGCTGAGGTGGGTTACGAGACGGTGGAGTGATTATTGACTACGAGTGGCTCTGTCTTCGTTGTTGTTATAGATGGGTGTAGTTCTTAGATCAGATCATCCACTACTATGACATCGGTGGGCAGGGGCAGTCTGACTGGGTTGTAGATCCGTTTAAAGATCTCCATGCTCGTGATATGGTTGCATGTATGTATGCTGTCATAGCAATCGGTGAGGGCTTCACAGCATAGTCCGTATGTTACACGATAACTTACAGCATGCATAGTAATGCCAGGAACGCATACAACCCGCCCAATACTACCTACGAACTACAACCTAGAGAGTGGACAGCATTCCACCAAGGTTTGTTATGCCCGTCCAGACAACACAGCCTAACCAGAGCACACGCATTCATATCACATTATCAGGCGAAAGTCGAGGTATCATGGAATTTTCAACTGTTTTTCTCCATTACGTTGTATAGGATGCAAAGGTGCTCCGACAAAGCAAAACCCTTAGCAGAAAAGTTCCAGTCATGTAGGTCGTCCAGTTTCAGTGATCCGTGAAGGCATCTATCACAGTCCACTGGTAACCAGACGCGAAGAGACAACCAATCTGGTTCAGAGATCAATCACCCCTCCGTGTCGGCCCACAGAAGCAATCCTTGTCCATGCCAATTTCCTCATCGTAATCGACATTTGTATTCATGCTCCGACCATATTCCATGCGCCGACGACCTCCTCGCCGAGTCCCAATCTCAATGTGTTGATGAAGGTATTTACAGAGCCTTCTTCTTGTCTCCCTTGGAGACGTCGACAACCTTGAGAGCTGTAGGAGAGAACAATTGATGTTAGTGCTTGATCCATATGATGTCATGCAATATCCGAGGTCCACATCGGACATCCATCTCGAGTCGGAAACAAACGAATCCGACATGTATCTTATTTCCAATAACACCATCCAAAGAAATGATCGATTAGGTGACGGGATCAAACGCACCAGGGGGCAGGCTCTGCTTGAGCTTGTCGGCCTTGTCGGAGTCCTTCAGGACAAGGGTGTAGACGAAGCGGGAGCAGCGGACCTTGAACTTGATCTGCTGGTCCTTGGGGTTGCGCTTGATGCGAGCAGCTGTTCAACAGACAAGACCATCACGCGTTAGCCTCGACTTCATATCATTCATCCATCCCAATGAACCATTCCAATGTGCCCTTCCGATGATGGTCGGGTACCCGTCTCGAGCTTCCCCCCTCCTCAAAGAGCTAGCTCCGCGGAGCTTTCCACCTCATGATAACTAAGCGGCTAAAGGTCGGGTAAACGTACAGGACGCATCCTTGCGGCGGCAGACCTCGATGAACTGCTTGATGTCGGAGATTTCCTGAGGCATGGTGGCTAGTGGGGTTTGTGACTTTGGTTTGGGTAGTCGTGGATGACGGAAGGTTTGGATGACAATCGCGGGTCTCGAAGCTCGTCGGCGGGCGGTGCTGGCCGGGGGGGAGTAGTCAGCTAGCTTCTGTGGGCTGTAGGGTTGCCCCCCGGAAGCCCTTAGTTCCAGTGCCACGTCGTGGCGGGATATCCCGCAATGATACATGTGGCGGTGCACCGATACGGCGGCTGCCTACGGAGTACGGGGGATCGACATCTATCTATAGTGTTTTGGCCACCCTCCGTCTTATATCTACTGGGATATCTGGCAACAAGCTTGTTGTTCTTTTTGACAGATATCATCGCCTCCTTTCGCCTTCGTGACTACTAGCAATACTTTTCTCGTGTATACACAGCAGGCGAACTCTAGTCCAGAACAAAATGCCGACACCTTTGGATCGCGCATTAAATTCCAAGGTACTATACATCCAACCCCAGACATAATATCGGCGTCCGCAAGCTAATAATGCCTCAGAACCTATTCCTAGGTATATCCTTCTGAGCTGAATATTGTTGACGGAAAGTCCGATCTAACTTTGTCAGGGTTTGCCGGAATGGTGACTGCAGCGGCCGCTTGGGCCATCTGGGGTGGCGATATGTTCCCGGCTGAAGCTGACCCAACTGGAGGCACGGGATCGAATTCTTCTGTGGTTGTAGGTATACCAAACTGACGTCTAAAAGATCCGGAAAACTGGACTGCAGATGAAATGCGGACATGGCTTCGAGTTGTATGTTCTCTTCTTCCCTCGTAAACAAAACAGTCAATGTCGCCAAAAAGAGCAATGGTTTCTAACTGTCACTCCAAGAGGGGCCTTTTGCCCAGCGAAAGCGCATCGCGCGACGAGTTACTCGAGCGCATAAAAGCAAATATGCGTGTACCGCGAAGATCGGCGGCCCAGTGATGAGATAGCAGTCGCTTTGTTTCGGAAATTTTTCGTTTGGCGTGTCGTGGGGTATTTCCTTGGGTTTCCTTCCATTTTCCTTCTGCGGCTCGAAATGTGTAATCGCGTGGCTGGATCATAGCGCATAATGTGTTTATCATGTCGTCAAACCGCAATAGCAATTCTAGTAATTTTCATCAAAGGCGTAGTAGAAGGCGTCCTCTTCCATCATATTAATCTTGGTGTTGATCCTTCATACGACGAGTCGGAAGTTCTGGGTTTGGATAAGCCATTCTCGCTTGCGCTTTCCCTTGGGCCCGTCGGCGGATGGATTCGGCACCAGCACAAAGGTCTCGCTGAAGCCTCGTTGCGGCAGATCTCTGGACTCTCCAAAGCGCACATAGCCGCTAACGACGACCAAGATAGACATGTCCTTGACAGTCGTTTCAGTGGGGAGCTTCACTCCAGTGGATGTAGGTGTCGGATACGCCTTGTTGATAATCTGGCAATCGACAGACTGCACTTCATAATGCGTCGGGGACATTTGGTTGACGAAAATCTCTTGGACAGCGGCTCCATCGGCGACAGCGTTTCCGTTGAAAAGGATCATGGCCGTGGGCTGGCTGTAGAACGAGGCTATCGTGGAACGGTTATTCTCAAGGGCAGGGTAGAAGGACTGGACAAAGTCGGTTGCCGCTGCAGATTAATCCGAGTTAGAATTTTCAGGCAAGATACCGCTTGTAAATCGACATACCATCCGTAGAAACCTTTGTCAATGTGTCTTCTGAAGGAGGAGCCATTGTGATTCGGAAATGTTTTTGATGGATTCCAACAACAAATTCGGTGACCAAGCCAAGACACTGTTTATAGACTCAGATTCCTGAAAACCCCTGAGTAGTCCAAGAACGAGTTATTATATGGTGGTTGAATAGAGGGAACGAGGTAGATGCTATGTAAAGAATGCGCGATCGCGGAGAAGAGAAGCAGGCATCGGACGGCAGAAAAAAGGCACGGAAGCTTGGACCACCCGGAGATGATGATCGAGCTCCGACGAAAACGCCGGCTGGAATAAACCATCGTTGCTCCCACCTGCAGTCCCACGTCAATGGCTATCTCGAGGGCAGGTTTTCGTGCCGCTTCTTGGGCTGGCCAATTTCTGGCCTACAGTCGCCCATCTTGGAGATGCGTTCCCCGCACAAATGCCCGCCCAGTGACAACGATCCGTCCGCGTCAATTCGCAACGGCGGCCTCGGAAAGCGCTTCGAAGAAGCCGTACTATGTCACGACTCCCATTTTCTATGTCAACGCCGGTATGACCTCTTCGGATATTTTACTGTGCTTTCTCGCTCACTGCTAATGCCTTGGCTTATGTAGCCCCTCATGTCGGTCATCTGTATACTATGGTCCTTGCCGATGTCATCAAGAGATGGCGGACACTCATCGGAGACGCTGATGCACAATTGCTGACCGGAACGGACGAACATGGCATGAAGGTAGGGGCCAGTTGTTACTGTTTAGCACAGTATTGTGCTAATTCTGTATAGATTCAGCAGGCCGCGTTGGCTGCAGAGATGGATACGCAGGCGTTCTGCGACATGAACTATAAGACGTTTGAGGTAGGCAACATTCACTACGTTGTCAGCTTTTGATCTGAGGTCGGCTCTAACCTCTAAGTTTAGGCTTTAGCAAATGCCGCGAATATGGACTACAACTACTTCATACGGACGACCGAACCTGCGCACAAGGAAGCTGTTCAGTATTTTTGGGTATGTGGCTAGGAGATGCGTCCACACGCATAGCTTGAGGCTGATGTGTGTATAGGAAGTGTTGGAGCACCGGGGATATGTCTACACCGCGAAGCATGAAGGCTGGTACTCGGTTAGCGATGAGACATTTTACCCTCAGACGCAAGTACAAAAGTCGCTGGACCCTGAGACTGGACATACGAAGATGGTAAGCTGCACGCCAAAGGACCTGCCAAAACGATCGAAGCTCACCCAGACAGGTCTCCATTGAGACAGGAAAGGAGGTGGAGTGGTCGTCGGAAACCAACTATCATTTCCGTCTGTCAGGTTTCCAGGAGCGTTTGCTCGATCTATACAAAACTGGATTTATTACCCCGACGATGTACACAACCAATGTCGTCAAGTCTGTTTCGGAGGGCCTTCAAGATTTGTCAATCTCTAGGCCTGCGGAGCGGCTGACCTGGGGTATTCCGGTTCCCGGCGACAACACACAGACCGTCTATGTCTGGCTAGATGCGCTTGTCAACTACTTGACCAAGGCAGGCTACCCGTTTGCACCCGGTCAAGGAAGCCGCCTTGGTTGGCCTGCGGATGTACATGTCGTCGGCAAGGACATTGTTCGGTGCGTATTCGCCTTCAAACTTTCCATATACGCGAACCCTTGATTAACCGTGCAACAGCTTTCACTGCGTATACTGGCCCGCATTCCTTATGGCTCTCGACCTCCCTCTTCCCCGAAATGTACTCGTTCATGGACACTGGACCATGAACCGTGAGAAGATGTCGAAGTCTACGGGTAATGTGGTGAACCCCTTCTTTGCCATCAACCGCTTCGGAGTGGATTCCATGCGTTTCTTCCTTATCCACCAAGGTGCATTGGTGGGCGACGCCGACTACGATAATGCATACATCATCCGCGACTATCAGAAGCTACTGCAGAAGGGGCTTGGAAACCTTGCGCATCGGGCAATTGGCTGTGCCAAGGGTAATCTTCGGACTTACATCGAGAATGGCACGTGCGGCCGACTTCCACCAGCGACTCCGGCCGATGAGGCGTACGAATCAATGCTTAAAGATGTGCCCAAGAGAGTAGCAGAGCAGATGGAGAATCTGAATCCCCGTGCTGCCCTGCAAGAAATCACTACCCTAATCGATCAGGTAAGAGATAAAGATAGACCCACCCTATGATCGGTGATGATTTCCAGACTTGTTCTAATCCGGTCCACCCAGACCAACAAATACTTCCATCACGCAGAGCCATGGAAGAGTCCGAACGACCGCCAGCGATCTATTTTCAATGTTGCTGAATCACTGCGAATGGCCGGGATCCTGCTGCAGCCTGTCATGCCCACCAAGGCCAACGAGCTTCTGGACATGTTCCATGTAGACAAAACGGACCCGGCCAAAAGGAACTATGCGGCGGCGACGTACGGCTCCGACGCAGACTACGGAGTGGATGCGAAGAAGAGCATTCTATTTCCCCCTCTTATCGTGGAAAGTTAATGTGGCTGTCCTTTCCATTTGATAACAGGAATGGGCTAGGATCCAATCATGGACACTAGATTGGAACGTTCGGTCAGCCAGAACACGCACAATTAAGCACGGGTCTCCGCCTGGTGGAGGAGACTGTGGAAATCGAGCGGGTTTGGCTTTTCCGTTTGCTGCTTGAAATGGACTGCGTTATGGACGGCTCTGGGTCCCAGACCGTCATTCACACGCATGCAGGGGTGGAGAGAAGGTTTGTGTTATGTCATGGTATGGCGATAACTGGAGCAGAATATGCGCGAGTTTATCAACGGGAAAAGGGTGCCGACTGGGCGAAGGGTTGGTCGAATTCCTGATAGATAGACTCGGGGCGGGAAACTCTTGTGTGTAGGTTTCCCGCGGCAAACTGGGGCGGACTATATCGGAAAGCGTCCGTGTTGTATATCACGAACTATGGGTTTCAGCGCTGTATCATGGGGGGAGTATATGAGGTCTGTATCATATTCTAGGGGTTTTCTTTCTCTTTTCGATTGTAATATACATTTATCATCTTATACCTAATCCTGTCTCCTCTCCTCGTTTCTCCTACTATTTATTGAAAACAACCTCCTCTCATCCCATCAACTGACAGATCATATCATATCATATTCACCTCTTTACTATACTACTATTTACCCTTCCTTATAGCATTCCTATCCTCATCCCAATAACCATCGTCATCATCATCTCCACCAATTGAACACCACCACCACCACACCCCGAAGGGAAACCAAAAACCAACAGACCACAATGGGCAGCATCCTTCCTCCCACCACGGCTCCAACCTACAAAACCCCCTGGAACCCGACCCCTCTCATCGAATCCACAACCCTCTCCCGCGCCGCAGGATGTAGAATCTTCCTGAAACTCGAAAACATCCAGCCCAGCGGCTCCTTCAAGTCCCGCGCCATGGGCAACCAAATCCTCTCACACCTCCTCAAGCCCGAGAACCACCATCGTCCCGTGCACTTCTACGCCTCCTCCGGCGGCAACGCCGGCCTAGCTGCCGTCTGCGCGGCCCGGAGCCTGGGGTACCCCTGCACGGTAGTGGTACCTGTATCGACGAAGCCGCTGATGGTGCAGAAGCTGCGGAATGCAGGAGCAGCGGATGTGATTCAGTACGGAGAGACATTCTCGGAGGCAGGGCAGTACATGAAGGATGTTGTGATGAAGAACAAGAACACCGATGGTGAGGAAAGCGAAGGTATTGATGATGTTGTGAAGATTGCCCTGCATCCATTCGACAACGAGCCCATCTGGCAAGGGAACAGCACGATCATTGATGAACTAGTGGAGCAGATCCCGCCGCCTGTCGGGGAGGAAGAGGAGGAAGTGCATGCTGGTCGTGCGTTGCCGGTTGATGCTATTGTTTGTAGTGTTGGCGGTGGAGGGTTGTTGAATGGGTTGGTTATGGGGATTGAGAGGCATAGGGCCAAGGCTAAGATGTCTTCTTCTTCTGCTGCTGCTGCTGCTGCTGCTGCTGCTGCTGCTGCTGAGGATGGTGCTGCGAAGCCTGTTCATCTTGTGGCTGTTGAGACTAAGGGCACGGATTCTCTGGCTACGGCGCTGGAGAGTAACGAGCTGGTCTCGTTGCCGAAGATCACGTCGCAGGCTACGTCATTGGGGGCTATTAAGGTCTCTGAGAGGACGTTTCAGTATGCGGTGCAGCCGCCGCCGGGCGTGAAGGTGCATAGTGCGGTGTTTTCGGATGCGGAGGCCGCCAGGGGCGTGTTGAGGCTTGTGGATGATGAGAGGTTGTTGGTTGAGTTGGCTTGTGGTGTTTGTGTGGAGGCTGCGGTTGGGGGGGCTAGTTGTGCTTCTTCATCGTCGAAGGTGGCTGCGGGTCAGAAGAGGAAGAGGGGCATGGATGCTGGGTATGTGAGTAAGGATGAAGGGTATGGGGATGATCGGTTGTCTGCGGGGGAGAATGAGGATGATGGTCCGGTTTCTTCGCCGTCGCTGTCGGCCTCTGCTGGGGGCTTGCAGTCTAAGTTGAAGGAGTTGGTGCCGGACTTGAATGAAGACAGTCGCGTGGTTATCATCGTTTGCGGTGGCAGTAATGTTACAATTGATATGGCGGCAGAGTGGAGGAAGATGTTGGCTGAGGGGTGGGCATGAGAGCGATTGTTTACATTTCATGGCTATTTTTTCTATGGGTTGTGGTGTATCTCTTGGTTTTGTTTGTTCTTGTGAAAACTTGGGTTGCATGGGTCTCACTATAAAGGTTAATGATGTATGACACAGCGAGCTTGTTTTTTGATATATGATATAATATTAGCTGTTATTGACAAACTTTATCTGATATTTTGGAACCACTGCCATAGAATCACTCTAACAGGTAATTCTCCTTGAACTTCTCGCTCGCAATATACAAGATTCACATTGTCTTCATGCTGTAGCTGGAACCGCTGCACTGGTAATCGTCCGAATGCGATAATCCCAGTAGTTAGATCGAATGGGATCATACTTCTCCTTCAGCAAGGTAAGCATACGGACGGCTTCCTGTTCCGATGCCGGTTCGCTTTCCGCAACGAACACATCAGCCAGCCATTCAACAGCATGGCTACTCTTGACCTCAACACCACCATCTTCCTTATCGACAACGAACTTGCCAGCAAATTCCTTCCATTCCGAAAGAGGCCGACCCGCGGCACGCAAAACCCCCCGCGCATATGACCACGGGCTGCGATTCTCAGGCGCCCGGACAATCTTGGACTTAGCGTACTGCAGCTCAGCGTCGACAACGTCTTCATCGACAACGGCTAGTCGGCCCTTCTCCGAGGGGTCTCCGCCGCTATTTGGCATTCCAGCATCTGGCTCGTTATCGCGCGGACCAAACCGGAGCATGAAGCGGTGGTTCCAAGCGGAGTTGTTGCGGACATCCGATGCAATAAGGGCCTCCACGTCCTGGATTTCCCGCGGGGCATCCCAGAGCTTGAAGTGGCGGACGTACCAGTGACGGTAGGTCCAAACATGGTAGTTTTTGGAGTCTTGGGCAAACATTTCCATGAGGAAGTCTGGCTCCTTAGCCGGTGGGCTTGGGAAGTAGTCTGTGCGTGACATGAGAACTTGACGATGATGCCTGGTGATTGTCAGTTGCGTCGGCGGAAGTGGATGGAAGGGACAGCTTGCCATACCATATCTGATAATTCTTCAAATACTTGAGTGAAACGCCGTTGAGCCATTCCAGCTCGTCTTTGAGATCTTTGCCCAAAGCAAACAGAATCTTAGCTCGGTAAATCCTGATGGTTCTAGTCAGTTTTCAGTCCCAACGGTATCATACGCGGGCCGGTCAGGTTAAGCTTACCATACGGTATAGTGTGCCGGGTTCATCGAGATAATGTCTTCAGTCAACTTTAAGGCCCTTTCCGACATTTCGTTGGCCGCCATGACCGCTCGTAGATACGATGTGGCCTCAAGATAGTCCGAAGGATAGGCAATGGTAGCCAAGGGCTGAACACCTGATTCAGAGCCATCATTCAGCGGAATTGGCTGTATAGATGCCCACTCGGGATCAGATGCGTATTTTCCTTCCATGTTTCACTTTGAAAGTAAATACTTTCTAGATATAGTGGCTAGTAAACAGTATTATAACTGGTCAGGGGTACGGTGGTTCACGCTATACACATTCAAGGAGACCCTCCCCTCAGTTTGATATATAGGTGAGCTGAAGTGTTCAACCGGCTTGCACCCTGATGTCTCTGAGACAGCACAAGTTAGACCCTTGTCTGATATCCCGACGTGGTAGTGAATGACGTCCGGTAAAATCCGGAGAATCAGAACCCAAGCTTAAGTAAATTACTTGGTCGCAACGGAGCAAGTCGAGTCTGTGATAGTCACGTTATATGCTATTAAGTGTCGGGTTTACTATCCAACGTGCAAAAAGGACTGCGTGATATAGCAAATGGTGAAGATATTCATGTGGATGGATTGATATGCGCCAAAATGAGCGACTCTCCGTGCGGGTGGGGTATTATTGCCTGAGGCATCTGCAGAACAATATCAAGGCGGACAGCCATTTTGGGTGATTGTTCTGGCCAGTCTGCCATTGTTTTCCATCATGTTCATCTGGTACAACAACCACTAGTTGACCCCGGGTCTTTTTCTGAGCCACTATCAGTGGCGGTCACCGGTGCCTTTTCAAGCACCCAATCCAGAAATCTCAGTCATTGTCCACAATGATTCATAAAGGCAACGTGCGTTTCCCGAAGAGGATAAAAAGTCCCCAGACACAGTCATTGGCCCGCGATAAGGCCAGGCAAAGTGTCCCCCGCATTCTCCAACTTGACATGGCCATCGTCTCCTCATCCTCTGCCATATCCACCTGTTCGCTTTCTTTATCCTCAACTTACCATGAGCCCACCTCGGACCGATAATGCGTCGTGTCAAAAAGTCTCGTAATGGGTGTGCCCGGTGCAAGAGCAAACGAGTGAGTTGAGTATCTTTTTGAGCGGTGGCTACATAGTCCCGCCCCATGTGGCCCCAAACATTAATTTGATGCTCCGCCATTCAACAGGTGAAATGCGGGGAAGAACGACCTCATTGTAGTCGATGCACCCGCCTGGGTGTCAATTGCCCTGGATACGTCCAGTCTCTGCGCTGGGTCACCAAGTATCCGCCGCAGGCCCCCGGGGAGTCGAACAAAGATCCCACTGGCGATGTTCCCAGTGATTCTCGCACCATCCCGAATCAATGTTCCGATCCCAAAGATCTGACTACCAGCCCTGCCGACTATGTTGACCCACTGACACAGTCGTTGGCCACGGACAATGACAGCCTAAACTTCACCACTTCCGACGATCCGGCCAATCCGCAGGGTCTAGAATTAGGCGGACCAAGCGGTATATGTGACAACTTATGGGACTTACAGCAGTCAGGCTCGCTACCGGAACTGGCAGACCTCCATTCTCCAGCATCGGCATCAACAGCTAGCCAAAATAACCCGGCATTGAACTTCGAGACACCGGGAACTAATGCAGATGATCCATTCGGGCTGTTCTCTTTGGCCGCGCCGATTCTGCAAGATGAGCCTCACATCTTTTCTGGCTTTTCACCTTCTACGATAGTACGCCAGTACCCTCCACCTGGCTCGAGGCCATCACAGCGGGACTTCACCTCGATTCCGCAGCCCCTCAACAACCCTTCGTGGACGCTCGTGGAGTACTACTTCAAAGAGGTGGCGGCCTTGTTCTCGAGCTATGACAGTCAAATGAACCCATTCCGGTCGACGGTTTCCCGACTGTGGGGCTCGTCGTTGGCCATGTGTCGAACCATGCAGAGCATGGCGGCCGCAACGCTCGTCCACGACTTTCCCCAGTTCGGACCACTAGGCCGGAAAATGCGTGATGAGGCAGTCGACATCATCACAAAGGAATCGACACTGGACGACAAGTCACTCCTCGCTTTGCTGATGCTTGGCCAAACGGCCAGCTGGCATGACCCCAAGGACCTTGGCATTTCCTTTTTCAACCTGTTGCGAAATCATCTGGACACCAAGCACGCCGGGCCACCAATTCCAGGCCGTAGCAACAACCATCAATTCTTCGAAGAAGCTTTAGTCTACTGGGAAATGCTCCTGTCATTCGTGGCAGATGATTCGGCGGTCTTACCAGGATCCGCGGCCGCCACAACGGGTGAATCGCTCGTCCTACAACGCGTTCCTCATCCATGGACAGGCATAGCGCGCGACACCCAGCATACCGTCCAAGAAGTAGGAAGACTTATACGTCGAGAGCGAAGACGAATCCGCTCCCGCTGCTTTACCTCACACTCAGACATTGCACGAGCCCAGCGCGCCATGGCAAAAGCAACAGAGCTAGAAGAGCGACTTTTGGGTCTAGCACACCCAGCCGAAGCTGAAATCATCAGTCCAGGCGACGACGAAACCCCAGTCTGGCATCTTCTCACAATGGCCGAAGTATACCGCTGTACTGGTCTAATGCAACTATACCGGGTCTTTCCCGATCTTCTTCGCCAACGCCTACCCATGCAACGGCCTTCCCCAAACCCACAAGCTCCAGAATCAGCCATGCAGGATCCGTTTCTCTCTCCTCCAATGGGCAGTAGTACATCCTGGTACTGCGACCCTTCATGTCCGCCCCCCAAACCCACCGACCCTGCCGATCCAACAACAACAACAACCACCACCGCACATTCAGGCTCCGAATCCGACACTTACTACGATACCTGGCTGACCGAATTCGCCCTCACCACTCTTTCCCGCCTAAAAACCATTCCCCTTGAGTCTCGTACCCGGTGTCTCCAGCCCTTCCTCCTCGTAGCCTCGAGCAGCGAGCTCCGTCTTCCCCGCCTGCCCCCACTAGACGCTACTCTGGACAGCAGCAACGGCCCAAGCATCTCCTCCCATGCCATCGACATCTCGCAAACCCGTCGGTTCATCCTTGGCCGGCTCACCTCGTATCTGCACGTGCTCCCTCCCAAGCCCATTAGCGTCTGTCTGCAGCTGGTGCGGGAGGTTTGGCGGCGCATGGATGCCGGGGAACAGGACGTTTATTGGATGGATGTGATGATAGAAAAGGGCTGGGAGACGACGATGGGGTAGTCTTTCGATTCTTGTGTTTGCTTGAAGTGCCAGCTGGGGACTGTAATGAATGATGAACTTGAAAGGATTTAGTATTTCCTGTTCCAGGTGCTTTGTTCATATTGCTAGGGGTGTATATTTAGCGTTTCATAGTATTAGTACTAGTATCTAGGTCGTTTCTTCGGTGAAATCTTCGCATCAATGCATACTCCGTACTTGGTAATGACAAATCTTGGCAATCCTTGGAAAGATTCGGTAGTTGTACAGTAGTAGTATTCTGTTTTCAGTCCTGGGAACCTTGAGTTCAAGCATACTACATATAGAAGATAAATACACCTCTTGACTTGAAAATCGCATCGCTACATCACCTAGATACAACATAACCCATAAAGATGCAGACATAAGTTTTTTGTCACTGGGCAGGGGTCCCTAATGCAGCATTTGGAGAGAGATCTGGGACCATGAGAAACCCATAAAGGGGACGGGAGTAAAATGGAAAAAAGAAGAGAAAAGAAGAAAGGAAAAGAGAAATCAATAAATTGTGTATGGATAAGGAATACTATATTCCGTAGTTAGATAAGAGGCGTGTCGAAAAGTCTGGAAGGAATTATTATACACAGAAGGGAAGATGATGGTAAGTATAGTGAAGCCATAACAGAAGAAAGGGGAATTGAAGGTCGATTAAACAAATAAATATGCAATCGTGCAATGCCCTAACACCAAGCTCGGACGTAAGGGGAAATGATCGTAAAAGGTTCAAGCAGGATCGAAATGAGAGAGTGTGAGGGAAAGTTGACTTCAGACAGCTCGTTTCCAGAACTTCCAGCCTTCCCGACGTTCTTGAACGCCGACGCCAACAAGACGCTCAATGCCTTCGGGTCCATCGGCGTTCTCAAACTTCTGCTGGTCGATCTCTTCGCCGCCCTCTTCGTCGGTGCCGTTGTGTAGCACCGCTGGCCAGAGGACTCCAATACCGTCTCCACCCAGGGTTGTCTCATACTTGGAGAAATTCTCTGCAGCGAGTTTGCCCTCCAGCTCACGGAGCGCATCCACGCTGGCGTCCGGGCGCAGGAGTGTGATCGCACAACCACCGCCGCCTGCACCGGTCAACTTTGTCCAACCGATATTGGCAAAGTCGACCAGTTCCCGGATTCGCTCCAGTCGCGGATGGGATACCCCCAGGGAAACTAGAAAACCGTGATTGACACGAACCAGCGTTCCGATATGTTCGAGAGTCTCCTTATCGATACTATCGCCATCCACCCCCTGGAGCGCATCTTGCGCAGACACAGTGATCTTGTCAATGGCATCAAGGATCGATTCGGTGACGACTGGATGTTCCTTTTTGAGCTTCCCAACTTTGGCAACTTCAACGGCTGTCGAGCGGCTCTGTCGTGTGTCAACGAGCAGGAGCGGCAATTCCGGGAAGTTCGGTAGCGGTATGACTTTGGGGGGCTTCGAGTAGTCCTCTCTCCTGAAAATCACGGCCTTGCCGCCGGTGGAGACCGTGTTGTCCACACCACTTGGGTTTCCGTGTATACATAATTCTCCGACAAAAGCCCACCGGTTGATACGCTCAATTTGTAACTCCGCTTCATCCGGCGGCTGGTCATCATGGGGGCCTGCTAGAGTACGGATCTGAAGTAGCAACGCAGCACTGAAACAAGTGCAGACACTGGCGCTGCTTCCAAGACCTGCACCCATGGGGATAGTTGAGCGCAAAGTATATATAGCTCCTGGGTGCTGGGGTGAGCCCAAGGAGCAAAATAGGTACAAAAACGCCAGCGCCGACCCTTTGTGCTTCTTCCGTATTTCCTCGGATGCCTTGGGCGATATGTCTTCAACGCATGGTTTTAGAGAGTCGTACAGTTCTTGGTCGAGGCTGGTCACTAGGTCGTAATAGTACTTCTTCTTGGAGGGCTGTTTGAAGAGGTCCCAGGGTAGATCGTCAATGTTCCAGGTGTGGTTGAAATCCATGTCCCTGAGATTTAAGGTGATAGTGCGCTGCGATTTGGACAGGGTGGTTACGAGAAAGTAGGAGCGAAGAGAAATTGCGGCGGCCATGGCAGCCTTGCCGTGCACGACGGCATGTTCACCGAAGACGATGACCTTGCCCGGCGCGGACACCATGAAAGGGGGCGCCATGGGCGACGAAGCCTTGCGGGCCATGGCTCTTTTCACGGGATCGACCCCGTTGGTGGGAGAGGTGGCAGGGATGCTAGAAGTGTTGGTGATAACGGTGGTCGCTGAAGTGTTCGAGGCGGCGTCGGAGGTATCAGGACTATCGTCGCTAACGGTAACGGTTTTGGACTGAGGTGGAAGGGCATGATCGGGTATCAAATGGGACATATTGCGACGCTGGCCAGCTTTGGAGGCTCTGAGACTGCCGTTCTTGCGACGTACTCGCCCGTGGTGCATTACTGAAGCGAATGGAAAGGATACGTAACTTAGGGGGTTGCGATGGATTCGGGGGGGCTGAAGGTCGGGAAGGCTAAGCGTTAGGAGAGTTGGACGATGAGCATGGCGAGGAGAGAGAGACTAGGAGTCGCGGGGGAGAGAGAGAATTAATGAGAGAAAAAAAAGACCGCAAAAAGGCGCCCAAGCCAGCATGCGTGAAAACCGAACAAGAAGCAAGAGAGATTGAGAACACGAATCGCCGGGGCAGTTGATCGGACGGCGCGAGGCAGGGATCGCTGGATGCTAGAAGGGGAAGCCGGGGTGGCAGCCAATCACCAGGCCTCAATTGTGCATTAGTCACCGTTGGACGGGCGGCCATCTGACAATTGCTTCTTCTGGCCTGCGTTTAATCCTATCGCCTTGCAGCGCCCATTATTTCGTGGTCTAGATTCTACACGGTAGCCCTGAGTCTGATTACCCTCACTGCCACCTGCTGCACTCTTCGTGCTCTCTGCCCTCCCCCCGAGCAAGCAAATCACCTTTCTCCTTCCAGCTTTTGTAGCAAGGTAGTAGCACGGCGTCATCCAGACGCAATCCTCCAAAGGTCGGTGCGTAGGTATCTAGCCCAAAGCATGGGGTGTCCACTCATTGCTACCTTGATGCTACATTGGTCGGGGTATACCGAGCACGACGCTCTTTGCAACCGGTCTCGCCTAGGTTGGCGAATTCTCCCATTCAGCCGAGTATATATTCCGTCTAACCTCTCGGGTGTGAGCTCTGACTGGAAGATTCCAGTGGTCATAAGACGGGGGACTGATCGGAGACGGCTTCCGGAGTATATCTGTTTTAAATTGCATCTCCAGCTCGCGGGCAAACACGTCAGTCGGAACCTTCCACGGCATATCAGCTTGGTAAAAATAAAAGCCCGGGTGTGAATGGCCACTCACTGCAGCAATTGATGCCTACACACCTGCTAAAGACCACCTGAGTTGGGCTGACATTGTCTGGTATCAACTGTTCCTCTGATGCATCTCTCGCTTCCGATTGAGTAACATAATCCATTCTCTGGCGGTGATCCTTGCTTTATCAACTCCAGCTCTAGGGAGTATTCTGCGCTTAGTATGATCGTAGTAAGCAATATTTAGGGAGCTCGTCTTTCAGACAGTTGAACCTTGATGTAGGTTGATCTTCAAATCAATATTGGAGTCCATCAAAATCGCTTTTCTAGCCATTTCAAGCAGCTGGATTGACAATGCTTGGAATCATTTATCATAATCATTTCCAAATGGGATGGAAAAGAATCAACAACTTGTGATAGTATTGGATTGGGCATGAGTGTGTTAGTCCCTTTACTGTGTTGCACCAAGCCAGGGGAACGGTAGTATGCAATGGATGGCAGTCAGATGATTCCAGATGCAGACGGGGCCACTGCCAAAATGCAGTTGCAAACTGGCCCACCACATGCCATTCGCTCCTCATGCAACATGCTGGGCCTCCATCAACTTTCAAACTAGACCACATATCATCTGCACAATATTAACCTTCTTAATGAATAATGGTCATCAACATGATCCTACTTGATTCTTTGGCTTCAGTCATTCTTACTGACCCATCGAAACTGTTGACTGTCATCAAGATATAGTACCGGGTACGAGTCACTGTCCACTTCATGTCTAAGAAAGAAGAGTATACAAGACAGGTGTCAAATACACAATAGCGCTATCTCGCCTAATGGTTTGAGGAACAATGACGTTCTTATGCAATTGACATTAGAACGACAGACACAGCACTCCCAAGCCGGATTCTCTGATCAACTACTCCCAGCAGGCTCAGAGCCTCGACCCTTTTGATGCGGAGTCTGGTAGCATTTGAGGATCAAGTTCGGCTATTTAGTGGTTGCGATCTTCATCTGAAGAATTGCATGATCATCTCATGGCATGGTAGGACCCTGTCTCATAGGGGCATGACAACCACTGTATCATCCTGAGCTCACATCAGAGCAAGATTCCTTCCCAATTGGTACAGGATGATCTTGAACCTTTCTTTGGGTAGATGATCAGTGCCATGCCGCGACTCATGCAAATCCGTTGAACTTCCGTTCGAAGACTTGCTAGTCTTCAAGATATTGGCTGGAAGCAGAGAAGAGACATATCGTTCGCCACAGGACTTTTAGTTTCTAGGTTCCAAGCCGAGACAGAGCTGGTTAACATAGGCTGAAACGATCTGCTACATGTTTACATCATCCCGATAGACTTTATACTTCCTTGCTCTGACATTTGACGTTTCCTTCCCCGGAAAAATATACAAGGACCTGACCAAACAGAGTGCAGACTGTCAGCCAGGAACCAGCCACCGGCCTCATACCCCGACCACTAGAGATATTCTTCAACTAGATCTCGATTAGGCGTTACAAACTACATGCGGCAGATTGTTACCGAAAGTGTCAATTGGCTAGTTACTCAAGCTCAAATGCCGCATTATGCAGAAGATAAGCGCCGAACTCTGAGCCAGGTCAATCATCAATGCTTTGCTCTTCAAATTGCCATGACAAGAAAGACTACAGGTTTAGGAGACAAGACCAAAAGACATTTTGGTAAAGCCCCCGAGTCCGAAAAGCCAGTTCCTGAAACGAGCAAGATATATTTATCTGGAACCAAGTAAATCCTAAATCAAACCTGCGCTGTTGTACAGATCAGGGTATTAACAGGAACGGACAATCAAAAATTGCATTGACATCAGTAAGCGAATAAAACAGTTCGAAGAAACAGCGTTTCTTCGATGAGCC